ATGCTTTGAAGTCTGGTTAGTGTTGGTTTGAAGTAAAGCAACAGGGCATGTTAGAGACAAAAGTAATGCAAGCAATTTAAAAATATGAATTTGATCAAAATATCATTTCAAAAAGACTCATGGTAGCTGTGTAACGCATATGAGAGACAAAATGTTCGTCTAGATTAGAGTTGATCAGTAAAAAGTACTGAAAAAATAACCATTGCAAAATCAATGGAAATAGGTGGTAGACATGTTTAGCTTGTCTGCCAGAGTAAATCGCGTCCTGGTAGTGGAAGTTGGCGTAGCCTCTGATGGAGCAAATTGGCGACTGAGAGGACTGGTGAGTCTCTCCAGTTCGGACATAAACTTAACGTCACACGGTGATTTGTTGAAATACGCTGAAGGCGAAAGCGTGGACGGAGGAAAGATATGATTTGGTGTGGCTGAGTCGGTACGCTGAAACAGAGAATTCTGTGGTTTCACCAGAGGTGTTTGTGAGGAATGGTGGATGGATATTTGATCATAAGACTCGTCATAGTACAGTCTTTGAAGCTTATTGAGGTCTGCTCCTCGGTTTTGTGTTACTACTGTAGTTCTATGCCTCGAGTAATTCGGTCGACCATATGACCTCATTGGTGCTTGGACCTTAAAGCAATTCAGAAATATTACTTAAGCATTATCAGTAGACAATTTAGGCAGGTAATGGTTGTGACGCATACCGTTTGATCCGGAAAAAGATACTGAACGTAGTTGGTTGGTAGCTTTGTAACACGAGTCGTCTCATGGGGACCTTGGTAATGCACATCAGAGGATGCGCGTCGAACATCGTTTGAAGAATGCTTAGAACACAGTAAAGGCGACAAAATTTCCTTCCGATGAGACGGAACCGAATTGAAAGTGCTAGCTGGACCAGAGGAGTGGCAGGATATGGTCAAGGAAGCACCGTGAGCCTGGTTTGTGCTAAACCAACGTTTTGACAGTGGTTAGGGTATCATCATCTTTTTTGTCAGTGACTGAACCACTGTGCTCGGCATGATAAAATGTTGTTTGTTATAATACACGACCAGCACTAAATAGTGAACACCTACCATTCCTTAAGCGACTATTTGTTCATAATTTAGCAAAAACATCTTACTGATCTTGTCTCGTTGTGGCTATAACTCTGATGTGAACAAATTAAGTAAAAAAAGCGACTAAGCTGCTTAATTATTTGCACAATGAAAGATTGGTTTAAAATATTGTCGGATATTACGCAGCTTACAGCTTGTGGAGAAAAATAAAAAGATTTATAATTGGATTAAAGTTATGCTTGCATTACATCACTTGCACTCAAAGTGATCTCCTTTTACATCCTCAAATATAGGACTTGGTGATTTGTTTAACTAATGTGTGATTTGAAAACTATCTCATTTGAAAGACATTTTCGTAATACTTCCTCTGTTCAAAATTTGCTCTGACACCACGTTAACTGTCACAGGCACATCGGATTGTGAAATTACTCAATGATATTACTAGTAAATGCATAAACTACACCTGGAGTGAGAAGAGTCGGAGGACTGCTCATCGGCGTGGTAGCCAGAGGAGTCGGTTGTGACACCACCATTGAATTGTTGGGTGCGATGAAGGGAGTCATCTGGATGTGGTAGCTGGGCTGGCGAGAGGGTCAGAGAGATGTGAAGGGGATGGGAGAGACGTGAGAGTGGTGACTCAATTCGACCCACCGAGAAAGATCGAGACGCCAGTACCGATTGTCGCGCCGCTTTTAGCTCCTCGCTTTCGTGATACAGACGGAGCAACTACAGACAAGTATTTTTGCACGGTGAGTACATGACCTTTGGGATTTTAAAACTCCTCAGGTACTTAACAACCTGACTTAATAATTATGCACTTAATGAGGTAAGTCTTCCAGTAGGATAGCATGGGTCATAGATACGGACTAGTTAGAATTCCATCAAAAGTATTAATTGGACAGTTATACAACAAAAATAAAACAAAGTTGTTCTTAAATCGCTCGAATATATTTGAATAAGGATATTTTAGTCCACAACGTTGGACATCAATCCAAATTGTCCTGGTAAAATGAATCTTTTGTTTTTTTTTGCCGCAAGCGAGTGCTGTAGTAAAATAATGCTTTCAGAATTCATGTTTAACTCCCTTGAAATACCGTTTTTTGATTCTCCTGGACAGAGTCGCGGTAGGCCTTCCTTGATTTCCTGCACAACGCCGTATCCATGGCCCGCGCCATGTTTACTCTGAGGATATTCTGCACAGTGGCGATTTCCACATTTTTCCAAGCTATGAGGTCGCTAAGTTTCATGGGGTCTGGTCTGCTCAGAGAGCGCCGTGTTTGCGTAGGTGGTGGCAGCTGTTGCACACCCCTACTATTGTGACTGCCAGTACCTCTACTGTCGTTCCCACCTGCAGATCGGCGTGTGGCTTCCAAAGGCACTCCAGTACTGAGCACCGGGAGGCTATCAGACAAGCTTTTCAGAGAGATGAATCTATGCAACAGAGTTCGAGATAGCACTGCTTTGGGTGCAATCGCCTTCTGAAGTGTCACCAAGGCGGCTGATTGACTTTGTTGAACGGTGGTTGGAGCAGAGGATACGGTGACAGAGTGAGAGCTCGTTGTAGAAATTGCCTCGCGAGGTGCACTACTCGCCCGATTCCGTGAGGTAGTCTGTTTCGACCATATGATCATACATTTACAATGAGTTTTCAGTGATATGGATTCTGTTTGCTTGTACAAAAGGGAAATTTTACCACATCCTCATCAGTGAGGTCCATCGCTTCGGTAGAACAATTGCATTTCTTCTCCCGCTCACCCATGATATTTTGTAAACTACCATATGTGAGTTTGCGCAAAATCCCTGGTGAGAGCGTGTAGGACGTTTCTCGATGTGAGGTGCATTTTTCTGAGTCTAAAACGAATTCAAGTACAAAACTTTCAAAATTCATATTTGCACAAGCTATCGCGTGAAGCCAACCAAATTGCTAAGTTTCCGAGTAGATGGCAGTCGTTGTAACGTATGTGGCCTAATATAATAGCAAGGTCAAAATTTAGCGTAGATCACTTCCCACCTCATCGAGGTCACTATTACAGCAAAGAGGACTCTAACCCTCCTTAAGTGCGTGCAGAGCAGAGCAGAGCAGAGCAGAGCAGAGCAACTTGATCGCCTTG